ATGTAATTATTCCATCTCAGGTCAGCGGACATTGTGAGAACAAGTAGTCGCAAAGAGGTGCTCTCGTGGAGTTGAGCATTAGACATTCTAATGGGTGGCAGGGATGGTTCCCTGTGGTGAGTAAGAGAGAGCAGTTTTGTTTTAGAGGCATTAAAGTTAACTAGCCATTTTCTGCCCCAGTCAGCAACCGATTAGAGGTCCTTTTCGATCTAACGGCCAGGTTAGTTTTATCAGCCATGCCAGAATTGCTATTGAGGCAGGAGTAAATAGTTGTGTCGTCAGCATAGATGCCTACTTGGGAACTGATGACATCGGGGAGATCGTTAATGAATATAAGGAACAGAGTAGGGCCTAGGATAGAGCCTTGAGGAACACCTATATATAACAAGAACAACCTTACCAACACTAAACCTGTCAAAGGAAAAAAATGATAGAAGAAAACAGAATCAGGTTTCTACAAAATAAAATATAAGATACCAACAGATTATATAACGAGATTTGTCAGCAAAATGAACACCCTAATAATTGTCAGCAAAATGAACGCCCTAATAAGCATCTCACAAATTGGAGATACCAAAATCATGCAAGTACAAAAATTTAAAAGTGCAACACCGAAATCCGAAGGCGTATTGGAAAAACGAAATATACCTTCCAAAAGCTAAGCAAAGCATTAAGAAACACAACAATTTCGTTAGAAACGGAGGAAAGAATCCTGAACTACTATGCAATTTCAGTCCTTCTCTATGACAGTGAATGCTCGACAATTTCTTCACAGATGAAGAAGGAACTGAAGCAACAGAAATGTGGCACCACAGAAGGATGATGAGAATACCACAGACAGTGAGCAATGACGAAGTTTTAGAAAAATGGAAACAAAAAGGATACTTATATCTAACATCATTTTTAGGGCAGATAATGAGGAAAATGGGTTTGAAAATGTGATACTCACAGGACAATCTAAAGACAAGAGTGACAGAGAAACAACAGCATATAAACTACCGAACGAGCTTGTGTAAACGGATGGCAGAACAGGGTTTATGAGAGCAAAAAAAAGCAGATTTTGCTAAGATAATCCTGACTGCTAACAACCTGAAGCACACGGCCCATAGAAGAAGAATATATAAACATAAGACTTCAAATTAAACAACATCGCGCACTTCTGTGCAACCAATATTTCGTGGGACATTTTGACGGGGAAAACAGGGTTTTACTAAAAAATTAATATAACAGACTTACACGAAGATGCACTGTAAGGTCTATGATCTGTGAATCTTCATTGATTAACTTAAAACCAGACTATTTCAGTCTGATCTTACATTGCGCGGTCTTTCTTCAAAATCCCCAACACCTTCTCACTGTTCTTACTAAATTAAACAATACGTCGTCACTTTATTTCGTATCGAAGAATTTAATTTCTTCTTTGCTGAACGCTTCCTTTCACCAAAACCGTCTACCGTTATCCATTCCCTATCGTCGTTTGCCTTTCCAAGAGTTGATTGGAGTTAAAACAAAATCAGAGTAGAAATGGCGTAAATTTGTGTTCGGTGGACGTCAGGTAGCCAGGAAGTGATCCACACGCTTGATTTCATTGCCTTCCTATGCCTCACATATGAAATGAGACTTATAGAATCCAGTTATGAAACTGCAACAGCCTAGTATTGGACTTAAATTCATAATGTGTACCATAGCGAAGAGCTCATCCGAATAATTATCATGAAAGTATTTTTAAAAAAAGGCACAGAGAGGCAACTTTATGTCGGTGGGCAAGTGACCGAAGTCGAACCGCGAGCTCAGGACCAATAATATTTCTGATTCTTCTTTGGAACTTATCAAGGAGCACCAGGAAAATAGCAGAGGAACCGGACCACATATTGCAGCAATATTCTAAGCATGGACATATAGTAGACTTATAGATATGCAAGATAGAGTCAGAAGAGAAAAATTGTGTCGTTCAGCAAAGTGAACCGACTTTAGTAGCAGCTGATCTTGCGATCGTTTCCACAATCCCCGCTATAGCCAGTCTTTTCTCTCACTTTCACTATCCGTAACCCTCTGCGTACTAGTGGCACTCCCGCCTTGCTTGGGGTGAAATGATTAAAAAATAAAACATAATAATTAAGACGGATACAGAGGAAGGTGCTGGCGATTTGAAGAAACTTGCTCCCACTCAATCCCCAGTGATAAACACGAGACATCTCGCGTGAACATGCAAATGTTGGTTGGTTGTTTTTGTTTAGCAGAATATCAACATATATGGGTTATTTTAATGCCGAAAGCTAAATATTCGGGTCATAATTTTATTTTATTTTTGGAGATAATAATAATTTAGGGATACAAGTCTTACTAATTAATTCATACCTGAAGGAAGAAAAAGTGGATTTATATCTTTCTCAGCGGTATTTGCGCGAAAGTGAATATAACGGACCAAAGAGGTATTGGAACACGACTCAGCGATTAGCAATTTTGAGCCATTATCCGTTAAACCACTGCACATTCAAGCTTATAGCACCTGGTATTTCCAAGTGGTCACCCATTTAGCTACTGATCAGGCTCGACGTTGCTTAACTTCGGTGATCGTACGGGAACCGGTGTTTCAACGTGATGTGGCCGCAAGTTCCCAAACGTATTAAATGTAAATCAGAAATGATAACGAGGAAGGTGTTGGAAACTAGAAAATAATTGTTCTCATTCAGTCTCCAGGGAAGGTGTGAAAATGAAAATGCATGAAATATAATAGTTAGAAATGATAATGAGGAAGGTGCTGGATATTTGAACGGATTGGTGTCAATCAATCTGCAATTAAAAACACCAGACATCTGGTAGGAATATGAAAATGAAATAAGTCCTAGCCAGACGTGGATGGCAAACTTTTAGAAGAGTGAGATTTTGGGAAAGATTAAGATCCCTGCCTATACTCACACTGGGGACCATACTAAAAATCAGTGGAACAGAAACTGGATGAAATTCGATATTCATAGAAGCGTTAGGGTGCTAGTATCTGTGAGGGTATCAAGGAAAGTGCTGGATATTTCAGAGTACTTGGTGTCACACGAACTGTATCAATAGTTATGAGACAATCTGCTGAGAAAATCTAAATACATGAATAATAATAATAATAATAATAATAATAATAATAATAATAAAATAGCAAACAAAGAATGGCAGAAAGTCGTACGAGAAGACCTGAAAAATTCCTTTAAAAATGGACGACAGAAGACGTCAGGAAGAATAGGTTCAGAAGGAAGTTCATGGAACGACTCGCTATGAATGCATTCGTGGATATCTTTCCCTGGAAGAGCGTGTTCATTGATATCGACGATGGCATCATGCATGAATAGGTTCGGTGGGTGGTTGAGGGGGAAGAGAAGAGAGAGAGAGGTCGAAAAAGAGAGAAAGCAAAAGAGAAAAAAAAAACAAAGAAAAAATGTTGGTGACAAAATTAGAAAGCAGACAAGCTAGGTTAAGGGAGTGGGTGTGTTGACAGTGGTGAACTTTTGTTGAATCAATCTTTGTTTAGCGACAACGAGTGGAGTGCGTTGCTTTGTTGGACAGAAAATAACTGGTTTCTAGCATTCGCAAAAGGATAAAAATGTCTCTATACTGATCTTTCTTTCTTCCTCCTTTTATGATTCTTTGAATATTAATATTAATAATAAATTCTCTGATGCCATACAAAGTATAGCTCATATGGTAATAGTAATAGTAATAGTAATGACAATATTAGCCGTTTCCTAACAAGGAAACATTTGGCCTTCATTGACCAAGCAGTCGGTACTGCTTTTGGTTGAAATTTATAAAATCTTTCACTTAAAACATTTTTTCTGGAAAAATTGTTTTTCAAGTCCAGTAGCTGTTATCGCTCTTTCCAGTACTGATAGGGATTTACTTCCTAACCTTTTATTTGAAATAGTGTGGAATTTTGCTGTCTTATAATTTTCTCTTCGAATTCCATGTGATATCCATTTTAGTTGTTGCTGCTATTGGTATTAGTCAAGTGTTGTGGTTTCTGTTATTTGATGAAGTTGTTTGTGATTCTGTAGCACCAGTCAATAATGTTCAAAGAAGGATGACCTTTGCGAAGATCCTCAGGCTTTACTCGCGCGAAGCCTTTTTTTTTCACCATTGATCTTAGGAAATGGTTATATACAGCTGAATGTTTAGATATTTTTCAGTAGATTTGGTACCATGCATGGGGTCCATATGAAAATTTCGATCTGAAGAAACATTTGATATTAATTGATTAGAAATGTTAATATATGCATGTTTTCTCTTGGTGAATGAATTTAGATGGGCTACAGTAAATATTTCGTTCAGTACCACAGATTCTCTTGAATGTTACTTGACTTTAATCAGTTAGGTATGTCCCTTAGGAGTTGACACCTTGTTCATGAGCGGGAGTAATGTCGAACAATGAACAGTGGTCGAGAGGTTTTTAAGTTTGAAGGATGGGACATCTATGGTGTCTTGAGAGTCACATCTAGATTTTGGGGAGCATCCTAAATTGAAGACTAGCTAACGGATTGGGTTGCTCAACCTGAAGATATTTCTAACTTGGACCCACTTGCAAGTTTACGCATTTTAAAACTAGCCACCATAGTGTTCACATTTAACTACGATGAATTTATCTGTTATGCCCTTATCAGAGTGGGTTTCAATATGGATTTACTGGGATTCATACATTTGTACCCAAACATTACCATGTTGGCGTGTTGCTGCTGTTGCTGCTGCTCTCTCTCAATAATAATAATAATAATAATAATGATAGTCATAATAACTCGAGGAATAATTAAAAGCAGCCGGATAATAATAGCATTATAAAAATCAACACAGATGAAAATGATGCATTATTGAGGAAAACTGCTGTTATTTGATATTCATTAAAAAAACAGATGATATTGTTGTGAAATAATAATAATAGTTTCAAATGAGTGAATAAATGCAAGCAAAGCATAATACATCGACTGCAGCTGCAAAATCTTAACAAAAAGAAAGCAAAAGCCAAATTCAACCGACCAGATAAAGAAACGATGGCATGATAAACCACATCACGGTCAATACTCTGCCCGTACCAAACAAGCTGATGCAGACAAACCCCGTACCCATCAGTGGTTACGCAGTGTAGGGTTAAAGGCTGAAACCGAAAGTTTTATTCTTGCTGCACAAGATCAATGCTTGCTAGATAGAAAATACCAAGCACACGTACTGAAAAATTATGTTAGCCCAAAATGCAGATTCTGTGAAATATCTAGAAACAACTGACAATCTTGTATCAGGTTGCGTGGTATTGGCACCCACTGGATATAAAACTCAGATTTGGCCAATATCTAAGGAAACTGCAAGAAATTGGTAGGAAAACCACGCAGACCCGGTGAGAGAGAAAGGACATGTAACAATTTTCTGGGACGTTATAATACACACACACACACACACACACACACACACACAGATCAATCAAAGCTAATCTCCCAGACATCGTGATTAGAGAACGCAAAGACAAAATGTGCTTTCTTGAAATCGAAATCTCAAAAATATGGCACATGAGGACATGAACAATTCCAGTTCTGGTTGGAGCCCTCGGACTGATTGGAAAATATTCCAATATACTCATTGAAGAGAATCCTGGTAGCCCAAGATTTAAAGAAATACAAAAAATTGTTCTCATAAGTACAGCCCACACCTTACGAAGGGCTTTATCTATATAAAATGTGTGTGAGTAGAAATGAGTATATACCAGAAATCAAAGGAATAATAATAATAATAATAATAATAATAATAATAATAATAATAATAATATACTCCGCCACATGAAAAAAAGGTTTGAACGTCACCTGAACCATGAAGTTCTTATTCTTTGAGATGTCAGCATTCATACCAATTGACAAAGTTAATAGATCAGACATAGAGATTAAAGTAAATATAAGGAAATTGTAAATTAAAAATGTGGCACGTCAAAACTCCTGTTAGACACGTAATAGTTGGAACCTTGGGTACGATAAAAAAAAAAGACGAAAACAATCTCTTTATCAAATTACCTGGAATCTCTTGTTTACATCCCTTGATTAAAAGAATCTGCATTGTGCTGAGTTCATCTACTTTAGAGAGTATTAACAACGTAAAGAAAATATTTATCTATCTATCTATTTAATTCCCAAAATAATTTACTTATGGTTTTACCGCGAAAAGGGTAAAATGCTTTATGCCACACATAGGGGCAGAGTTAAATTTTATAAACTAAATTCTGGTAAAACAGCGACCTAACACAAATGTCAGTTTCATGAGCAGCGAGAAATCTTATATATATATATATATATATATATATATATATATATATATGTAAAATGTTTATATATATATATATATATATATATATAAAAATTTTATATATATATATATATATATAAACATTTTACATGTAAAATGTTTATATATATATATATATATACATGTAAAATATTTATGTATATATATATATATATGTGTGTGTGTGTGTGTGTGTAAAATGTACTTAAACTCTTATACTCTTATATATGTAAAATGTTTTATATATATATAAATATTCTACATATATATATACATATATATAAACATTTTACATATATATAAACATTTAAAAATTTTTATATATATATAATCATTTAAAATGTTTGTGCGTATATATAAACATTTTACATTTTATGTTCAAATTAACAAAAAATCTGTGCAAACAGAATGCTTGTATTTACCAACTCAGTCTCAGGTAATGACACAACAGAACGCAAAAGATAATGATGGCGATGATGATGATAATAACAATAGTTCGACTATCATGATAAATACTTTCAGGACAAACCAAAGACTATTTTGGAAAGTAATAACCACAAAATGTTTTGGGATTTCGACTTTCAGGTCAACCATTCTGCCCAATTTAAAAGACTGGAAGAGATCATAGAGAATAAAGGGATAAGATCCTTCCAGATTATAGATGTGATTCTCTTAGCAGACTTTAAAGAAAACACGAAAAGAATGAGAAACGAAGCCGACCAGGCCCTTGCCCTGGAATGGATAAAGAAATGGAACGTGAAAGTTAAAAGTGTAATTATAATAAAATTTGCCCTTGGAACTATGGCATACAAAACTGAAATCCAGATTGCATAAGTTGGACATCCTAGGAAGTGTTGCGGAAGCTTTACTGGAATCGGCAAAGATAATGACATGGGTGCTGGGGATTGGAAGAGACTCTCAGTCAATGAACACCAGATATTTAATGCAAACATACAAATACAAGAAATATAATAATAATAATAATTTAGATCTCGACTTTTTCACAAAGAATAACGAACTGGAATAAGGGGAAGTCCTTAAATACCTAGGAGTCAGCGAAGGATATGGAATACAACATACCAAAATGAAAGTGAAAGTAAAGAAAGTATACTACAATCGTGTGCAGCTAGTGTTAAATAACGAGTTATAATTCACAAAACAGAATACTAGCCATAAACACTTTGGCTGTCTCTGTGATGCAATTCTTCCTTAACTAAACCATAGCTGACATTATGTTAATGGATGTCAAAACGAGAAAGTTACTTACAACCGCATGCATCATCCTAAGGCCGATGTTGATCATTTGTATGTGT